GGCGGCGGCGGCGGCACTGGCCGCAGGGCCTTGGCGGCCTTCTGCAGGGGCTCCAGCTCGCGCTCCCGGTCTCCGTGGTCCGCCACCGACAGCTGGATGGCCCCCTGAGCTGGGGGCGGCAGGGACAAGGGCGGGGGGTTGGGGACGACGCGGCCCATCTCCACGCCTCCGAAGATCACCTGTCCCGGACTGGAGTAGCGGCTGGGGACGGGGTACGGGGTGCTGCTGTCACCGGCGTGCTCGGCGGACCCCACGGCCGTGGTCTGGTTGGTCAGGACGTCCAGCTGCACGTTCTGGTTGGCCAGCAGGGACTGCACCAGCCCGATGCTCTGCGTGGGGGACATTGCCTGGGCCGAGCTGTGGATGGGGGCGATGGGGATGTTCACCGTACAGGGTGGGTTGTTCTCAGGCACGCCGGAGGCACCGGTCACTGGAAGGAAAGGGGAAAGCCACCTGCTCACCAGGAGCGCCATGAAGACGGGTGGGGGCGAGCAGCGGGACTCCGCTCATGGAATCCTTTGGCGTACAGGGTGCAGTAGCCGTGGAGATGTGTTTGCTTGGGGGAAGCCGGACTGTTCAGTTTATGCAATTTCTCTGCTGTCTTGGAAGGGCCACTGGCAGGAGCCACAGGGCGGCCTGGACGTCCCCGGCGAGGGCAAGGTCAGTGCCGCCCCGTGCACACTGCACTGAGCCCCGAGGATGCCACAGCACAGCGGCCTGGCGCAGTGGCAACGGCGGCTTCGACTGCTTCACCCGAGGCCGCCAGCCTCCTTGCGCGACGCCGAGCGGGCACGCGCCCTCCCCAGGGCCTGCGTGGGCAGCGGGGTGGCACGCAGCACCTGGCATCTGGGATTTGCTTGCGAGTCTGTGAACAGACCGCGGGAAATGCAAGGAGAGCCCAGTGAGGGGCTCCCCAGCGGTCCCCACGCGGGAGGAGGTCATTCCCAGGTTCGCCTAGCGCAGCATTAGGCGAGGTCGACCTCCCGGGGGTCGCCAGCGGGCCCAGCCCACGGGTACGCTGCAGGAACCCACGGGCGAGTCCGAGTGGACGCCTCCGCCCAGGCAGGCGCCGCCCATGTCCCGGCCGGGCTGCGGGTAGCTGCGGCGCCCCAGCTCCGCCTCGGCTCGGGCCCCTCAGTGGGACCCACCTGGCGGGGGCGTGGGCCCGGCTCGGTTTGGTCCTGCACTCTCCTCTCGTTTGTGTGCCACCCTGACGGGGGTGCCCTCCCACGGGAGGGAAGCTCCCCTGTTGAGGCTCACCATTAAAGGGGAGCCCCGCCCGAGACAGGACGTTCCCTCCGCTCACCGGGAACCCGACAGGAACCCCGGCTGCAGCTGAGCTTAGCAAGAGCTACGTTAGCCGCGTTCTGCAGAGCCAGGGGGCGTGCAGGACCTTCCAGCTGGCTGGAGATTCTGAGCTAGGGGGGCCGTGCGCTGCAGGGGCCACGCCAGGCTGCACGTGCGGGCGGCTGCATATTCGGGCATTGGGGCCTGGCACAACCCCTCCTGCAGGGAGGGCGGCACCCGCGGATGAAAAGCTGGACTGGGAGGATCTGAACAGGCCGCTCAGCTTCAGAGCTCACGCTGGGGTGCGTGCCCCGCCCTGCCCCCCAGGAGGGACCCCTGGCTAGGAAACCACCTGCTCTTGTGGCAAGAGTCGCTCTAAAACTGCAGAACTATATCCAAACAGTTGGCAGACTCATCAGAAATCATTTTAATCTATTGCTCAAAACAGCTCCCCCACCCCATGGGGCACTAAGATACCACAGGTGTTTTCACTTCCTAAGCTGGGGTTTTCTGGGCACCAGGAGGGTGTTTAATGTAAAGGTTTTGTGTCCTGCAGATGGAGGAGGCTGGGGACACTGGGCTCGTGGGCACCGGGGTCACTGCGTGATGCCCGTGTCCAAGCAGGGGCCGAAAGGGTGCAAGCCGGCCCAGGGTTCTGGAGACCGGCCCGGCTTCGGACGGTCCCGCTCCGGCCGGCGCAGCCTCAGGGTGACGCAGACAGGTGCTGCGCCCTGTGTCGCCCTTTCTCCCTCCACTCCAACCGGCGGCAGGAGGCGACCTGTCTCCCGGGCCGTGCCGGCCAGCCACCCACCCGCCTCCCTGCCAGGGGCAGAGGCAGGGGTGACTGCCACAGGCCCCAACACGACCCACCAGAGGGGCATGAAAACCCGCCGGCGGCAGGTGTGAACACACCTGGCAAATCGTCTTCGTCCTCGCTGAAAACGTTGGGGTTGAAGACAGGCAGGTTAATGCAGTCCGTGGAAACCTTCCGAACCTCTGGGAGGTAGACGGTCATCTGCCGCGGCTGGAGATGCAGGAGGCTGGTTTTGTAGATTACTGGGGGGGAGAGAGCTGGGTTAGCGGAGACGCCAGCGGGGGCCATGGCGCCCAGCGTCCCGGGAGGAGGGGGCCCGCTGACCGTCTGGGTTCAAGCGCCCAGTGGAGCCGCACGCACTTCCTGCGAGAAACACCTACCTTACACCTCAGACTCTTCCAGAGCAAGTTGGGGGTACGGCAACCACGTTTATAGAACCTCACTTGCAATCAGGTCACTCTAGCGCAACCGCTGTGATGACACAGCGTCACAGGCAGGGACCCGGGGCCCGAGCAGCCTGGGCCAGGCAGGAGTGACCGCCGCTCGTCCTCGGGACGGATTCTCCTCCTGCTGGCCCTCAGCTTCCGTGGCGTGACCAGGATAGACACATACATCCACGGGGTCTCTGACGTAACTGGACTGACGGGCAGGTCTGGAGTGTGACTAGCACACGCAGGGGAGGAACACGTGGAGAAGCAATGAACGGAATTCAAGACCCACAGTGGGTTAAAACCGGGGTGAACGGGCCTCGTTCTCCGCTCCATTTAAGACTCTGCCCTGGAGAGCTGTGATGACGGTGCTGGGTTTCTCGAGACTCGCCCTGGGCCACCCTCCAGTGGCCCCACCGGCTGGTGCTGGCGTCGGGCTGACCCTGCTCGCTCGCTTCAAGTCTACTTCCCAGCTCACCTTCCTTGCCCACACAAGAGAGTAAGAGTTGGGCTGAAAAGCTCTGGATTGGTTTCACGTCACTCACAAGTGAATGCTCTAGTGAAAAAACTATGCTTTGTCATTCAGATCAACAGAGAAAAAAAATTTTACGTCTCAGGAGGGGTTCAAGTAGTAATATCAGTTTGCCTCCCGGGGAAACAGATAGGCGAGAACGTATTCCAGGTCTTTAAAATCAAGAAATGCAAAATAAATCTCAAGCACAAAAAAACTGATGGGTCACATCATCCAAACGGAAGGAAACAGATCGTCCACCGTGGGACAGACGAAACCCTCTTAAATCTGCCGAGTGTCAAGGAACATTCATCAGGGCCCGTCCGTCACCTGCCTCCAGAACCCCAGAGCGTCTCCTTGCTTGACAAAGAATGCGAAGCTGAAACACTTTTTAAAAAGGTCCGGGACTGGGACCCGACTCCCCGCAGCCGTGCCCGGCCCTCGCACCCCTTCAGGTGAACTTACTGGGGGGTCTAGTGAGCAGGCAAGAAGTACGGGCCCCACGCAAAGCCGCACCATCCGTGCTTGCTGCCACGCCTGGCCCAGCGTGCCCGTGGGCATCGCGACCCCCGCAGAGACGGCCGCGTGGCAGACGGCGGGGTTTGCCGCACCGGAGGGATTCCCAGTCATTCAACCCATCTGAGGGTCCTCTCCGTGGGGAGCGCCACTCTGATGCTAGACTTTAATTCTCCTTTCTCTTGGAACTGAGAAAGCTCAACGTGAAGAGCCCGAAGCAGTCACGAGTCTGCAGACGCGGCCGCGGCACGGGCTTATATAACACAAAGGCGTCTGAAACCATGGGCCGGTTTAGATTTTCTTCAGAAGCCATTTTGAGTAGGTCTCAGAGCACACTCCAGCTGGCGAGGCCGGGCTTCCAGAGCTGTGGGCAGTGGTAAATGGCCAGGCGACCGGCAGGGGTCCCCGAGAAGAGGGGCAAGTGAAACTATGCCTTGGGGGGTGGCAGCGGGTGGAAGGGCAATTCTAAGGTCCCCACCAGCTTCCAGATTCTTCGTGTCCCCGGCTTCTCACGGAAGCCCATCCACCTGGTACCAGAGACACTCTCTCACGATTTACCTCTAAGAACTGTACTTACAGGCAGCCAACTCGTTAGTCGGTAACACTTTTTTCTCTACTTCGTTCAGGATTTTCTTGAACCTAGCACCTAAAAGCACCGGTACCCAAATCTGCCCATAGTACAAGGCTCAGAAATCAGAAGTGACCAGACATCTATGAGAGCTTTCCTAAGATTTTGGCCACTTCCGTCATTTTGTAAGCCAGAGTTTATATTGAGATAATGAAAGCACCTTGGCGAAAACCCAATTTGTGTGACCAGGCAATTTTCGGTGAACTCTAAGTGGGCGGAGGGATATCCACGCTCGTCTCCTGAGCTCACACTCCGCTCTAGTCACTGGAAACTGAGCCCACGGATGGCCCGAGCGGGCAGCGAGGAGGGGGGTTACCTGCACCGAGGTTGGTTGGCAGGAAAGCGGCCAAGCCCACGATCTTAAATTTGGTTCCCCAGATGTTAGACGTGACCTGAGCAAGGTAGCTGTGCTGGGGGGGGAAAGACAGGAAGGAAAATCACAACCGCTTCTGTATTTTCTACAACCATGATTATTTATTGTCTAGGTCATTCTGCCAGCTTCGCCAGCATGGCCGGCGCCCACTGTGAAGAGGGGCTCACCCCCCACGCCGCTCAAGATGGGGTGAGGGCTGTTATTTTTAGCCGTGACATTTCTCCTGAAAATGTCACTGCAGGTAGCACCCTATCTGGAAACGGCCCAACTGTCTAGTTCTCTGCTCATCAATAAATATTTTGAAACTTAAAAAAGAGGCTACCACCACGCCCAGGCCACGTGGACACGCGTGACCGGCGGTGGTACGCAGACTCACCACCCGACTGGGGAGACACGGCGCCGTCTGGGAAGGCTTACTACGGAGCCCGACGGGAGGCTCTGGGATTATGGGGCTCAGCGAGGGAGGGAAGCCCCCGGCCACGCACGGGGGCCAGGAGGTGGCGCGGCGACCCCCGAGTCGCTGGCATAGCAGGGCAGGAGGGGTCAGGCCCCAGCAGGGAAGAGGGTGGCCCTCAGGGGTGCAGGGTGGGAGCGGCCATGAGGGAAAGACTGGCGGGGCCAGACTCGGGCCACCGTCAGGACCGGCTCCCGCAGACTCGGGGATCACTGAAGTGGGGGGAGGCGGCTGGTGGGGGCAGCGGGGAGAAGGGTGGGCGCGTCCCAGCCCCGGGGCCTGCGAGGGGGCTCACTGGTTCCAGGGGGGATGCCTAAGGTGGGAGGCGACCCGCGGATGTGCACGGGGTGAGGGCGTGGGGCGGGCAGGCACGACAGCCACTACCTGAGCGATGTCTTCAAAGGGAAACTCCCTCCGCGCCAGGCTGGGCGAGCCGACCGAAGGCTTGCGCATGGGCAGCCGTGGAGACCGCGACATCTCCTGGGCGGCCCGGGAGAGCTTGGGGGACTTGCGCGCCTCGATGTTGATCCTGCGAGACAAGTCCGGGAGTCAGGCCCCCCCGCAGGCCGGGCGCAGGCCGCCCCGCGCCTCGGGGTGCAGGCACACGGAGGTCACCGCCTCGGGGTCAGGCCCCGGAGGCCGCTCTGCTTTGTGGACGCCGGGGAAGGGGCACAGATCGGGCGGGAGCCTCAGGCGGGGCTACCTTGGGAGTTTGGGCGACTTGCTGGCTCGGGAGATCTTGGGGGACTTCTTGGCGGCCCAGTCGTCACTCAGCTCGATGTCACTGGAGTCGGAGCAGTCACAGCTGTCGATCACAGCAGAGACCAAGCTGTTCCCGTAGATCTCATCTGCGGGGACCAACCGGCACGTTTAGGGGCACGAGAGTCGGGCCCGAGCCGTGCCGCCGAGCCGCGGGCGGCGTCTGCCGCTGAGGCGGGCGCCCGGCACAGCCCTACCCCACCCTCCCACGCTCCGACATTTCCTGGGCAAAGCGGGCAGCTACTTCCCTACCCAGGGGCGAGGTGTCTCAGTGGCCCCGGGAAGGGGCCCGTGGTCCACCGTGCGTCCCCGCGCCAACGTGGCCGAGCGGCCGTGGGGGACCTCCGGCGCCGGCCGCCTCTGGCCAGGGCAGCCTGGGACCTGGGCCTCACCGCTGGCTCACCCGGTGCGCTGGTGCTGGGCAGCCCTTGCCCGCCACTCTGTCCTGCTGGCCAGGGCCTATTTCCCTCGGGGCAAGGGCCTTGCCAGGCCATCAGAGAGCGGGCCATTCCGCGGCAGTGAAGTACCACAGCGTGAGTGATTTTACCCCTGCACAGGGCCGTTTACGTTTTAAAGGATGAGTCTGTTGGTCCACACCAATCTCTGAGCTTCAGATGACAGGGAGGCGACCCCTGTGCTCGTCCCCGAGGCTGCAGGAGAGCAGGCCGGGCAGGCAGCAGCTCCCCGCCGGCACCCGGCAGGGCCGACCTCCTCCTCGCCTTCCCGCGCGGCTCGCCGAAGCGCCCCCGGCTGAGGGGGTGACGCTGCCGGGGGCCGGTTCGAGCCGATGGTGGGGCGCGGGAGTGCACACGCCACGGGGAGAGCTTCGTGCTGTTTATAAAGCTCAGGCGTCACCGGCCGGAGGAAGCCGGGCAGGACCCAGGCCCGCGGGACCCGGAGACTCCGCACGCACGATGACAGAGCGACTGACGGACGCCCGGTTGCCTCGGCAACGGCAGGCCCGGGCGCCGGGATGCAGCACCCCACCCAGCTCTGCAGCACCCCACCCAGCTCTGCAGCACCCCACCCAGCTCTGCAGCACCCCACCCAGCCGTTGGACGCTCACACGACGCCACACACAGAGGCTGCCGGTGCGGGCCTGGGGCTGCTCCCTGGCGGCCAGAGCCCCGGGGGCCCTGCGCACCCCACCACCACACCCCGAGCCAGCCCGTCCGCGCCGAGGGCCCACCTGCTTTGCTGTCTGTCCGGGGGTCCATGATGACGAACTCGGGGCGCAGCTTGCTGACGCGCCGCCCCTTGAGGATGGGCACCAGCCCGCCCAGGTACTCCAGGTAGAGCGTGTAGCAGGGGCCGCCCACCTCCGGGTCGTCCTCGGTGCGCTTCATGGTGCAGTGCAGGCGCTCGTTGCCGGCCGAGGGGTAGCTGACGAAGTCTCGCATGTTGTTGGGGTCCGGAATCGGGGGCTGAGGAGGGCCACGGAGGGAGGGTGTGTGGGTGCGGACGGGAGGGGGCGCGGGCGCTCCTGGCCGGGAGCCGCCGCCCGGGTCCACCCTCCCCTCAGCCGGCGAGCCGCAGAGGCGGGCCGGGGGGACCGTCACCTTGATGGTGGGGATGAAGGCGGCGGAGAGGTAGGAGCAGAGGCGCGGTGGCAGGGTCAGCTTGCTGGCGTCCTTGTCCTCGCGCAGGGCGCAGGCGATGGCCTGCTGGCACAGCAGCTGCAGGCTGGACACCCGGTGCTCCACGCGCACCACGTACAGGGCCGGTCCCGAGGCCATGAGCAGCCGGGAGTCCCGGTGGCCCCAGCAGATGGAGATGATGGGGCGCTGCGGGGGAGGGGCAGGCTGAGGCTTTCGCTCGGTGTCGGCGGGGACTGGCCGTGCGCGCCCGGCTCAAGCAGAGAACGCCGGCTTCAAACGCGCAACGGAGGCGCTAGGGGCTCGCGAAACTCAACGTGCTCGACGCAGTGCAAGGCCAGAGGCCACTGGAGCCCTCTGCAAAGGCCGACATGCTGTATCTCCTCTTCCTTGGCGCCACGAATCCTAACTTAGCTCTGCAAACACTTGGCTGGGCAGTCACAAGCAGTGGGGGTACAGGGCCGTGCCCCCTGCTGCAACTCTGGCTCTTGGGACCCCAACTAACGGGGGCGGGGAGTTGACAGGGGGTGCTGGAGAGGGACAGACGGGAGGACTCAGCCTTCTGTCTGCATAGGAAGCATTTCAGACTCGCGTCTACCCAGATTTGGGGGCGTGAGCCACGTGGCCTGGACTTTTGCCACAGCCATGCCGGCGCCTCCTTTCTTGGGGCGGCTGAGGGAGGTAGGTGACGGTGTCAAGGTGCTTCTGGGACACTGCACAGGCGCAACCCACAGACATGAGGTCACCGTCACCCTGGGGTGGGGGGCGGAGAAAGCGAGGGGAGAGGTGGGGACGCGGCCTCCAAGGAGACCCCTCTGGGGCCCGAGTCCGCGGTGCCTCGCCAGGTGGCTGCGACCCAGCCCCACGTGTCTGAAAGCACCCGTCCCGAGCGGTGCCCCGCAGAGAGGTCAGCCGGGCCACGGGCAGGCGGCGGCCCGGCAGGGAGAAGCGGGGTGTGGCCCTTCGGAGCCGGACAGAGGGGCTCGAGCTTAACGGGGCCCTGAGGGGCCTCAAAGACGGACCGGGGCCCTAGATCTTTTATACGCATGACAGGAACAGAATCCTTGCAGCGGTGACAAACCTCAAGATTAAAGGGGCGCGAAGACACTCGCGTCCAACAGCCTCCAGGCAGGGCCAGCGGATCCTGGTTCAACTTCACAACAGGCCGCAAAGCAAAGGGCGTCGCCCTCACCCCACGCCAGGGCACCACGCTGAGGGGGGAGCCCCACGGGGCCTCAAGCCGCAGGGCCTAGCCGCTGCCGGAGGAGGGTGGCGAGACAGGAGACGAGGCGCCGGCCCTGCAGGCAGGCTTGGGCCCAGCACACAGCTCAGGGGTCACAAGGCCGGAGCCCGGCGCTGGCCCCTGGGGGCCCTGGGCGGTGCTCACAGCCCTGCACTCCAGACACGCCTCCCTCCCATCGCCGCCCGGCAGCGAGGGCACTGCGGAGGGCGAGTCGTGGCCGTCCATCCCCTGGGGCCTCACGCCGCTCCCGCAGGCCCACCTCAGTGGACGCTGATGCACAGCTCGGGAGCGCCGCATGCAAAGTCAAGGGTGCGCTCAGCGTGTGCGTCTGTATCTCTGTCCGAAGGGACTTAAACCCCTCACAGCGACGTTCAAACTGGACGCACGTCCTGCCGGCCGCCTCCTCCGGTCCTAACAAGCCCCCACCGCCCCCAAGCGCACTCTACCCGCCGGAGCACGCCGCCCCGACAGTCCCTTTGGAACAGGCCGGGCGCTGTGTGGCCACCAGCCTGCAGCGTGGGCACGGGGATGGCCACGGTCCGCATCAGCCGGAGCGGCAGGAGCCAGCTCGGAATTTAGACACCACATCTGTGTTCTAAGGACACAGCACGTCTCTGTGTGTAAGCAGACATCCCAGGCAAGACTTCTCATTTACCAAAGACCAAAAGCAGGAAAGCACACCCCCACAGCACCCCGATAACAGGCAGCCCTGGCGGGCGGAGTCCGGCTAAAGGATTCTCAGGAGCACAGACCTCGCTGGCCACAAACTCTGCCTCCTCTTACAAATTAAGTTATTTACTTACATTTATGCATACGGAAACTGGGGTGTAGGTCAGAAGTGCGGGGAATGGGGGTGAAACACACTGCTGAGGGGAGCAGCGGGGAGACAGGAGCGGTCTGCAGGGCCGTGTGGGTCACTCCCTGGCCGGGGATCGAATTCAGGTCCAGTGGCTGGGGGTAGCCTGAGAGTGTGAGAAGTAACCCCACACCACCGGGGTGCCCCTAAACACCACCTCTTGAATGAGTTTCTGTTCACACACCTAACCTCTTCCTTTTCCTGTCTTAGGTTATTCCTCACTATCTCACATCAACTACTGAACCTTAATGAAAAAAGGTGACCCTCTAATGCAAAAAAAAAAAGTCGTAAAAGAAAAAGACCCACAAGAACCCCCAAGTCCGGCCCAAACTGCTGAGCCCTGCAGACAGGCGAGAGGCCCTCAGAGCGCACACCCAGACGGGCAGGCGAGATGAACGGCGGGACTCAACGTGCAAGAAGAAAACAAATCACAGCCTTTACACGCAGTGTGTCTGCTCATGAGCGCTCAGCCACAGGCCCAACCGTTGGGAATGAATCAGGGCATCCACTCTGGGCACAGCTGGTTTCAGCTCGCGCCGGGCAGCGGCTTTATACGCGATAGCCGACAACCCAATTAACTGGGAGATGAATTATCCAATCAACTGCACTTAGTTCTCTTTATAAACAGCCCAATAAATCGCCCAACTTCCTCCCTGCTATAAAAACGTCCCTGCCTCCGGTGCCCTGAACGCACAGCGCAGACCAGCCCCGAGAGTTATGTCGCTGCTGCACGCTGATGTTGTATCTGATTTCTAATGCTACCATCACTTAACTTCATATTACTGAGGCAGTTTTTTAAATAGGTGAAGCAGACCCCAAAGTGAAAAAGAGATTCCAAGATTTATTAAAATGCTGCGCCGCCGTGGGACAATTTCTTTTGCCAAAGGAAGACAGCCGAGCCTCCCTCTCACCCCTGCACCCCAACAACTGAGGCTCAGGCATGGGTCAGTTTCAGGCGAGAACTTCTGTGATGGCTCAGACCTTCGCATCTGGGCCTCCCTGGTGCTGCGAGGTTAAAGCGCAGCACTGCGAAGCTGTCCAGCCACGGGGGCCTGAACTGGACCCTGGCCAGGGAGTGACCCCAGAGCCCAGCAGACCCTCCTGCCTTCCCGCTGCGCCCCTCAGCTGTGGACTTCAGTAGATCCGCCTGTCCCGCTCCCCACCCTGTCTCTGGGGAGCCCGCTCATCCCACCTCTGGCCTGCACCCAGCTCTTGTCTGCTGTATGAATCTCTAAAACCGGGCTCTGCACCTCTGCTTCACTCAGGCCAGGTGAGGGCCAGGACCATGAAGGAGACGTGGTCTGTGTCGTCAGGAAGGCAAAGCAGAGCCGCCCCGCGTGGCCGGGGCGCGGGGAGGACAGGAGGACTGCCCTCCCCGGGGTGGACTCCCGAGCGGCTGGCTCGCCACTAAGGACGACGGGCCTCCCTGCCGAGGCGGCTGTCGGGGGAGTGAAGCTGCTCAGGCTTTTGCCCCCTGGCCTCTGCGGCCATCACCTGCGGCCTCGCACCAGGAGGTGCTGGGGAGTGCGCCGTGCCTGATGGTGGACACTGGGTGGGCGTGTGTGAGTGGGCGCAGCTGGGGCTGGGGGCCGAGCACGTAAGGGCCGCGTCTCGGGGGATGGAGGCGGGGTGTGGTATGGCAGAGACCGGCTAGCAGGGCAGAAGCACAGACGCCAGAGAGCCCAGATTCACTGGGGCCGGGAGGCCCACTGCCGCCACGCGTCTGGTGGCCACACAGCTCGCAGCCTGGAGAACTCACTGAAAGCCTGGAAGAGCCACCGAGGCCCCCGGGCGCTCCTTTATCCTCTGCCGGGACCTCAGAACCTGCTCCAAGCCCTGGGGGCTGCCGTGGCGGGCAAGCCGGCCCCAGAGAGGCCGCTGCGCACGTGGGGCACCGGCGGCGGCACGTGGGGGGCTTCAGCGCTCTGAGCACAAACCTGGCAAGCACAGGAGCCGCACTGAGGCAGAACTGAGGACTCCCGCCGCCACCTGTCTGGGTGGGCCAGGTCAGGAAGTCAGCGAGAGCGGCCGGCCGGGAAGGGGGCCGGGCCCGCCACGCGCCACGGCCGAGAGCTCAGGACGTCTGTGCCACCCGCCGCCCACCCGCCGCCCCACTGGACCAGGGGCACCTGGCGGTGGGACGAGGCCACGCGAGGCACGGCCCAGGCGGCCAGACGCTGCAGCCTCTGCTCAGCCGCTCCACACACCTGTCCGCTCGAGGCGCGGCCCTCGGCTCTGCCCCGGGCCGCCTCGTCGCTCACATCCACGTCACCGCCTCGCTGGACAGCAGGGCACGGCCCCTCTGCGGGCGGGACAGGCCGCAGGCGCTCACTCCGCCTTCACGGCGTCCTGCTCCCTGGGCCTTCCCGCGCGCCATGCAGGACCGGCCGGCCGAGACACCTGCCGGCCGACATGCGTGGACAAATGAGCGGACAGCGTGCCTCACTGTCCCCGAGACCACGCGGCCGCAGCGCGTGCCACTCAACAGCAAGAGAAAAGCAGCTAGAAAACAAGGCAGGGTCTGGCGTGGGCATCGTCCCACTGAGGACACACAGGCGGCCGGGGAGCCCGCGAGTCCCAGGGAGACCAGACCAAGCCGCGAGCCTCCGCCCCGCCCCGCGAGGAGGGCGTCTGCCAAAACCCAGAGCCAGCCAGCTGGGCGCCCGTGGAGTGGCTGGGCGGGGTGTGCACTGCGCGGGATGGGGGCGGGCGGCCGCAGAGACCCCGGGTGGAGCGCGCCCCGGGTGTTTACCCAGAAGCCTGCAAGCAGGGCTCCGGGGAACCGAGCACAGCAGCACGGGGGCTGGGGGGAGCCACGGGGGTGTGCCCACGGTGGGGGGGGGCGTGAGCGGGCGCGGCAGGCACACGGACGGCACAGCACCCTGCCACAGGGCAGGAAGCTCTGGCACAGGCCACAGGCGGGTGCGTCCTGAGGGCCAGGTGCTGGCGAGATCCGCCACACGATAGCACCTGCTGAGAGCCCAAAGGAGGCAGGGGCGAGGCCTCGGGGGAGCAGCGGGGTGGGGGGCAGGCTGGGAGGAGGCGAGGCGG